ACAACTACTGCAGTTCTTGCACCGGAAGCTACTCATACATCTTAATTTCCAACGGCGATGACAACGTCTAGGCGCGGTACGTTCGAAATCGGTTTCGTTTTTCCCTCATACAAATTTGCGAAAGAATTTTTCGCTTTTAAATGTGTTCACAGCGTACACAGGAGTCATTGTTGAATTTTATCACTCCAACATAACAGTTAAGAGATAACCCCAGATGTTTTGCGCTCACTTTGTGTTTGCATCTAGTTTTAACCATGACATCGATTTACACCGATTGCTCTCCGCAGCCATCGACAGGCCAAAACAGATGTGGGCGAAATGGCTACCCGTCGAACTTAAAACGCGTTATGCAATGCCACACATATAAGGCCTGGTGGCACTTCCAATGCACGGGTTTACAGTACGACCAGTTAAGCCGATTAGCTAACTTTCCTGACCCGTTTGCCTGAGCCCGCTGCCTCTACATTAAGGGTGCAATGCACATCGCAGCTAAGAAGAAAGCCCCCCAAAACGAAAGCTAATCCCCATTGTGGAATCAGAAAGACCGGTATGATTGTTCCGCATTGATCGGGATACTCGTCGCGAAGCTGGAGCTACTTTCTAAAGCACTGGAGGATTCGAACAGAAGAATGCAGCAAATTGGACGAAAGTTGATAAAGAATTTTCTTCGCTGAACGAGTACCTCGCGTTATCCATGCCGGTTCCGCTGGCTGCGAGGAAAGTTATACAGCTGTCTGACGGGGCGATGAAGAACGTCACAGAGTCTCTAGTGGACAGGCGCCCAAGGGAGAGCAGATTGATAATCTGGGGATCGTTCTCCGGAGTAATCACGCCAGCAGGGCTGGCACAGTAGTCCTTGGTAGTGTCCTCACTAAGCCTGAAGACCCATCGCTTTGAGCGAAATGGTTACGCCAGAAGGGAAGCAAGCGAACACTTGGGCTCTCAGTCACCCTTTCCTCCACACCTGCCCCACAGAAGATACTGGAGCGGGGTGGTAGCATCCAAAAGGCCTGCCCAATGATCAGGGCCGCCGGCTATTAGCATAATGGGATTGATTTCTCGAAACCTACGGCATTGCAGGCTTGCCACTTCATAGTTTAGAAGGTCTATGTATAATGTACATGGTCCTGTATTATTGAAAATCATTCACTATGGCGATTTGTTTAAGTGAGCGAATGCTCAAGGTCAGTAAACACAACCGACTGTGAATAGGTTGCCTGATGACCAAAGATCGTGAATTGTGGAAAATGTTGACTCACTTACAATAAACGTAACTTTCAGATAGCTTTCCACTGGAAGAAGTATCCTGAACATTCTAGAACCTAAATGGCCTTTGGGGATGCAAATTATGCGTAGGTGCATTCGTGCAAACAAATTTTGGTCGATGATTCCTGCTGCTAGTTAAAATTCCGTAGTCCACGTTAAATATTTGCTAAAAGTCGTGCACGTTTGCTGGCAAGAAGCAGAGTTTTCCATCATAGGTTGCGAATTATGGTAGGAAGACCTCGGGGTTTATCGATTAGGAACATGAAAAATACGTCAATCATACCGGACTGCTGAACGAACCTTACCGACGCACGCGACTGACACGCGGCTGGGATTACAGGATGCCTAACTAACTAGCCACGTAGAACCTACGTTGATCCTACCGGACAGCTGAACGAACCTAACAAACGCACGTGACTAACACGCGGCTAGGGGTACACGACGCCGGAGCGCAACCATCCATCTGCACCGGAGAAAAAGCTCGAAATGGACGTCAATAAATGTTGATATATCGGTCGCTTTGAAGTGCGCCTATGTCCTTCTGGGAGGCGCATTTTCTTCTTCGTGAGAAGTGTTCATTTGGCCGTTGATGTACTGAAATGAGAGGAGGATATAACTCAGGTTATCGAAATATCACCATAAGGCGGGCGGCCGACAAACTGGTAGAGATACCCCATAATTCACTCCAGCGACCAGGTTATCATAGATGTCTGTTCACACAGTGCCATCTTCAGCGGTTATTTCGCATGCCTGTTTACTGGACCTATCAAGAAATACGAGACCTACATGAAACTCATAGAGCCTCATCGTCAGACAAACATTTCGGAGCCGATGGGTCACGTGATGCCATCTTCGTCGCCTTCATCTAGCTGGTGCTCTGCAGAGTTAGTCATGGTTGTGAAACACTTACTCACGGCTGTCGAGTATTTCCTCTCTGGACCTGAAAACACGGACGCACAAGGGCATCTGGGACGCACTGTGCTGGGACTCTGTGCTTTGGTCCAGGTCAACATCATAAGACGCCCTCTGCGGACCGGGTAGCAAGCACACCTTTGCGTTTTCTGGATGGGCCGGAGCTGAGAACCAAAAGTTTTTTCATGTGGACTCACCGGTGTCATCGTTGTCCAGGCAGGCCATGAGGTGAAATGTGTGCCGGCTATTCGCAGAATGTGGCTATGATGAAAAGTACGTGGATATTAAATGATACATACGTGCTTCGTGAAGGCTTTGCGGACATGAAAGTGACCAATCATAACGTCACAGCCGAACACGATTCTCTCTGCATGCATTTGCGCAGCCAACTTGTCCATTACAAAGGTTTTAACCGGATAAGTTTCGCCCATCATTTCTTTGAATAAGCCGAACATTTTATGCATGGGAGAAAACTACTCGCTTTCTACGAACGCATTAATAACCGCACGCCCGGTTATCATGCCGTCCGTTATCAAGGTGTAAAGCTTATATCTATATGCCGAATATTAAGTGCTTTAAAAAACTTACCCAAGGCGGTTGGTTGTATGCTTTCCATCTACATTTACTACATCTAAAAAGCGTCGGAACAACACCATCTGCTGCCATCAGGGGAAGTATATGTGGTTATGGTGACCTTCCTCTGACTGGCACATAACGACGCGTCCAGTCTCCCTAAGTTTTGCTCGGACCGAAGGCATATCATCTGCCGCATTAAAACCCGACCATGCGGCACTTATCCAACATAGCCGGTCGACAGTTACGGCGGTAGCTGTGTATATTCTTAGTAGTAAGAATCTTGCCAAATTCATTCGCCACAAACTGCCACACCTCACAAGAGGGCGTCGCATATTTCAGAAAGGCCTTGAAAGTGCCCAACACGTTTCGGTTAACTGTAAGCCGGTCGTACGGAAACTAATGACAACTTGTGGTTGTGTTCAAGAAAATAAGAGGTGGCCACCAGTTGGTTCCTTTGCCTCCGTAGACGAAAAGCGCACTGGACAACTGGTGCTTCGTGTACTATTTTATCAGTAAATACGCTCGGCTTACTAGCTTCTTCGGATTCCCCGGCTTTTCGTTGTTCTTGGAGGGCGCCTTCTGCATTTGTGGTACACCAATTCGTGACGCACAAACACCACAGAAATGTCCTTCATGTATTGACGTAAGACCCTCTCAAATGCCGTGAAGGATGGAAGCGATACACCAACAAATTTCTCAACCAACGATTGTGAAGCCATTTCCAAAGCCATAGCACACCAAGTTCAAAAGCCGAATGTGCGCTAATATTTTCGAAAGCGGCCCTCTCAAATGCCGTGAAGGATGGAAGCGATACACCCACAAATTTCTCAACCAACGATTGTGAAGCCATTTCCAAAGCCATAGCACACCAAGTTCAAAAGCCGAATGTGCGCTAATAATTTTCGAAAGTGATCCACTAAAACAAATTGCAAAAAAGTGACGGTAGATGAGGGTGATCTCTGGACCGAGCACATATGCAAAGAAGTGCAACATTTTGACGTTAAAGTTTTACTTCGCCTTCAGGGGCTCTGCAGAAAAATGCATTGGTCTTCGAGGGCACGCCATAATCAGGCGTCTATCTGAGGATCGTCTTCCAGAAGCGCGAAAGCTGGGTCACAGTAGATCAGGGGTAGGGCGCAAAACAGGCTTCCACTTGGCACTAGTTCAGCTGACCCAAAGGTCATAGACTCTTGTATTCCTGAAAGGATGCCGACACAACCGGCCACGTCTTCGGACAGCAGTTTCTTTTCGATCACCACAAACCCCTCGTCCACCAAAGGCAGTGATGCTCTGGAGGAGTCAAGTCCCACATGGAATCAGCACCCAAAGAGCTATCAGCAATTATTTCCGTAGCAGACGACAAAGGTGCAGCCATGAACTCCTCACCAAAGTCACAGCTTCTGAACTGGCCTGAGTCAGATGTGTGAGGACAAGTGGCGAAGCTCACCGACAAATCAACCACCAAATCAACCTCGGTATCGGGAAATCCCGCGACAGCCTTACGGCCACCGACAGGGTGGAACTGTCAATCTCCAGCTCCCGTACGTCGAAAATGGCATCTCTGCTTGTGGACACAGCCGTCGCCTGGGACCCTGAAAGCCAAAGCCACAAGCGTGACTACAGTGAACCGGAAAGTCCGACGTACAACTAGCTATCCACGCTGATCGCCGGGGGATCGGGTGTCCACACAAACACGAAAGAAAGCCATTCAGATTGTCCTTTCTGATACCGCTCCTGCAGCTTTTTCCGATGTACTGTGGATCTAAATCCCGCTGCGTGGACCCAATTATTAACTTCTCGGTGTGGTCTACCGCGGCCCTTCAAGCCCCCTGGAGGTGACCTATTCCTCATACTAAATCAACTATTCTCCAGCTACCACTTCACTCATCTCCTGCTTGTAGGTGACCTTAACGTTTCAAAAGCCTCCTAGATGGAGCTCCAACGCGTAGGATCAAGCGGACTATTTGCAGCGGCGCTGACAAGTCGTTCAACAGAGCGCTTGGATAAAACAGATCGCTGCATTAAACAGATACCGCGCAGGCGAGCTACCATTCGCGATTTGGTAGTCACTAACGGAAGACACTTCGTTGATCAGGTAACAATTATCGCTCTATTGGGACATAGTGTTCACCGTGTGCTAACCTTTGACTTGACCTGCTATTGGGTCGGAAATCCCAAACCTCAAACGTGGTATCGGGACTTCCGCCGTGCAGACTTCTCAGGAATGCGCCTATTTCTTGAACAAGCTGAGATGGGACAGGCCCCAGTGGAAATGCTATTTAGGACCATTGTCCAGAAAGTCCACGAGGCTGACGCGACATCCCTCCCAAAATCACCAGCACGCACTCAAATGAGCCGCGGGCTACCCAAAAGGATTAGGCGACCTCTGAAAAAAAGCTCCCAGCTTTTCTTTAAAAACCTTACTACAGGAGACACAGGA